TCCTAATGAAAGAACAATAGCAAATCATGATAAGAATTGTTAGAAAAGAATGGAAAACTAGTGGAGATTACATCAGTTCTTCAATTATATTTCTGATTAATAATAAAAATTGTTTATTAATGAAAGGAATATAGCATCACATAGTTCGTACACAGATTACAAGGTTAATGTTGATCATTTTTATCGTCGTAACCACCATCGGTATCACTGGAATCGTAAAAATCCGAAACAACTGTGTTATCATTTACTACTGAAATATAGCTTCCAGATGGCTTTGGTCGTTCATCACTCTGAAATCTTTCATAACCCAAATACCAAATTATAGATGCAATGTGGCTGCAACAGCCAACGACTTTGGCACCATCAGGACACGTGCAGTACCATCCTTTAATTTCATTTGTGGTGTGAAAGATTGTTGACTCGTAGGATTTGTTTTTCGAGTGTCCTGAAGGCAGTCTAACTTTGATTAGATTAGGAATTTTTGTGCAAATTTGAATTTCATAATTCACAACTGCTGATGATAGATCAGTTGTTGATGCATGCTCTTCAGCATAGGATCTTGCTCGTTTGATTTGGAACACTCCTGAAGAAGGATGATTCTGTTTTGAGAAATGAATTTACCTTATATAATGCTTACCAAACGTTATACTACCTAACTGTTCTTCAGATAATATTGGAAAATCGAGATAACTGGAAGAATCAATTTTTTTCCAAAAAGTCTTGGATAATAAATTTTTTTCTATAATCATATCTTGTACTTCATTTCGTTTATTAACTAAAGCTAACATAGAAGATGCTAATTCACTATCTTCTGGTTTTGATTTGACTAGTGGTTCTTTAAAATGATTTATGATAGCACATGTAATGAGCAAATAGTCTTTTAAATGCGGTATCAAACTGTTTTGAACAGTTTGATTGAAAAACCTAAATTGTTTCAGCCGCCCGTTCACACTTTCCACTATCCATCTGACCTTCGTTACTAATCTAGAGCGATTTGCATCACCTACATCAAATTGCTTCTTCCCATGTAAAAATGAAGGCATAGCAACCTCCATTCCTAATCTTTCCATCACATGTACACAATCGCGGAACCCACGATCCACTACAAGCACATCATCCTGAACAAAAAGACATGCTTATTGAAAAAGCAAGCGTCAAACAGAACAAGTTTAACATACTTCTTGGATCCAATCCAAAACATCCTCCATATTAGTTAAAAATACATGTTTTAAGATACTAGCATCATTGTTAGACCAGTCAGATAGAAATGGTCCGAGGACTGCTATGATATAACCTGTCGTTGAGACAATCATCATAGGTTTCAGCAAAGAACGATGCTTATGAATCGAAAAAGATCTTCGTTGGAAAATATTGTTTCGGGACTTCTGAAATTATTACATATAGCAAGAAATGCTTTAGGAGAATATGCATTACTAAAGCTCACTTGCACATATAAATAGGTACCGTCTGCTACCAAAATTGCTACATCTTTGCCACCGCCTATCAGTTCTCTTGCAATTGTTGTTGTATGATTTTTAATGATATTGTCTCGGTCAATATGATGAAATCCAACATTGTTTGGAACAAAGTTTGTCATTAATGCTTCTGTGGCGCTGGCTATGGCAAGAGAAACAGTTTTCTTATCATTGATTTGAAAAAGTGATGATAAAACATGATTTGACAAACCGAGACGTAATTTACATAGCAATAAGGCAATAGCAGTTCTAATCGAACGTTTTTTAGATTCATGAATTACACTTGAGTTAGAAATAAATGAAACTAATTGATTAAATTGCTGTTTTGTTAAACCTGTCAAGTTATAATAATCTATGTCGGTTAGTGAAGATGGTTGATCAAAATCAATTCGTCTTTTTAATTCTAATGCAGATCGATATTTTAAAAACCATGATTTAACATCATTAGATGTTAACGAGATGAGTTCATTGCTATATACAATTAAATTTTTGAAACTTTCATAAGTAAGACGTCCATTTTCGAGATGTTTCACACAGCATCGTGCTCCTTTTGGTATAAAGACATGTTCTCGAATAAAAACTAAATCTCTATCTTCATCAGAAATTACTATTGTTGAACCAAGATCAAGCGATGGACAGAAACAACATTCACTATACAAGATGAGCTTAGATTAAGAAATTATAAAGCCTTTGTTTTTTATTACTGATGAGAAGGAGAAGTACCATCGAAACGTATTTGTATGATTGGTTCTTCGGTAGAAGTTTTGTTTATATCATGACCCGATGTTGAAGAACCATTACTATCAATATCAATGATTGAATCCATACTTTCACTCTACATCGAAGAAATAATGACAATTAATGAAAAGTAACAGTAATGAAGGAGCGATAAAACTTACATTATTTGACAACGTGCGCTCATGTGAACTTGAATCTCCTTCGAGATGTTCGATTATTAGACGAAATTCTTCATTTTTACTTTTCCATTCACGATATACATCTCGACAATGAAAGCAAATTCGTGCATCATGTGGAATTATTTTCATTGTACGAATCGAGAAAAATAGACGTTGAGCTGGACACCGTAAAGGTCGACCAGAGGAATTACGTGGAAACCGACAATTACAGATAATACAATTTCTGTCCATCACAAAATAGATATAGTTAGAATGACCGAATAGACTCTATGCATTCACTCTCCTCTCATAATTCTGACCGTTAAAGAACAGGAAAAAAAACGAACTATCCCATTAACAAAAAAAACAAAAAAAACATACTATGCCAAACATTAGTGCACGTGTTTTTCTCTGTCGAAAAACAAAACGTTAAAACTATCTTACAAACTAGTTCAGATATGAAAGCAATTTTAAACTTGAAAGATTTCGCACATCTAAGTTTTTTTTGATACAAAAGGAAGGCAATTTACAGTACCTTTCAATAATAAACAATTTTTATTATTAATCAGAAATATAATTGAAGAACTGATGTAATCTCCACTAGTTTTCCATTCTTTTCTAACAATTCTTATCATGATTTGCTATTGTTCTTTCATTAGGATATTTAGTTATACATCACGTGATAAGATGAAATATTTTCTGATGATTTATGAACAATTGAATGTCTTTTGATGAAAAAAAATGAATGAAAATTATTCTAATAATATGTAGAAAAAGAAGTTATCTTGGCGAGAAAAAGGTTTGCGTTCTTTGAAAAGGCTCGCCGCTTTTTTCTCCAGCAAATTATACATAGTATGATAGCGGAAGACAAATGCTATCGTTTGCTATAAAATTCAGAGGGGACAGATAAAAATCAGTTATAGAGCTCTCGTTG